TATGATTTCAGGAAATCTACGACAAAATAGTTAAATTGGATTCAAAGAAAGCCAAGTTTGCCAAACTTATATTACAGGAAAAAGTTGCCCGGCTTAGGAAAGGTGAGCAGGGGCTTATTATATTTACAACCGTATATATTATTACAGTTTAATCAATTTAATTCAAAAATATTTTCATAATTTTCTCAAATTCTTTAAATCAAATAGATTTCATAATATTTATTAGTCATGTAATAAATACAGTATTCAATATCGCAATATTATGTCATGTTAAACCGAAAATGTTTTTGTTATGACACAGTTGACCAAGTTAATTACAATTATTGTAATTTTATTCAATTTTATACCAAAATGTAATGACAGACCCGACGGGTATTGTGTGGACTACTAAAGGGATGATATTATGTGACATTCTGGCGGTTATGGCCCTCGGATATGACAGCTATATTGAAAGCAAAGTTGAGTACAAGACTACCATTGAATTGAATGGAAAGACAACGAGAGGACAGTTGGTTTTGGACAGAGGGTTTGCATTCAAAACTGACTGGACATCCGTTACATACATCAGACATTTCGACGAAACAAAGTTTTCGCAACTTTTGGTCGATTTCCTTAAATAACAATCAATACAATGCTGTCTTGTGTTTGAGTGCAATCATTTGTGTGTAATATTCAAAGTGTAAACTAACTCTGCTTTTATAATTGATACTTTAATTGAATTAAAATTCTTAATTATAGGCTATGTATAATTGATAGCAAACTTTCATAATACAGTAATTGACAATGAAATAAAAACAAAGATTGCTTACAATGTTCACAATGCATTAGTTTTCACTTCACTTGACGTTAGTGTGCATTCAAGTCATAGTATTTGACAAATCAGATAAATACTGAATAATATTAATAATGAGTGCAAGGATTGTGAGAAATGCATGAATTGACCGCAAATGTAATGTTTGACAAAAAGTTTGCTAAAAGTATTGAATGGAAAAGCATTGATGAATGCAATGATAGAGTACATAGTCTATGGCGTAACAGAGTCTATGAATCACTCATTGACTCCATTTGTCACATAAAAGCTGTGATTGTCTCCAGAAATGGCACCAAATCTGTCGAAACCGTTATCACCGGGAGATGTGCTCCAAGAAGTCACTCGACCTCTGGTTCACGTCATTGGCATTGAATTCAAAGCCAAATATTGTGACAATTGTCTGAAAGAGAGGCCATCGCTGTGGAAGTGCTCGAAATGTCTGCAAATGTATTATTGCCACAAAACGTGTCAATCAATGGATTGGAAAAGTGGTCACAAATACGAGTGCAATGTCTTCTGCAGTAATCGATACCACACGAGGAACTCGACTATCACTCAGAGACTATTACATCGACTCATACTTCGTGTCAAATCCGACAAATGATTTGTTACTCAAAGACATTGAGGTTAATGTGAAACTTATCACTGAAAACAGGGAATCGATGGACGAGTTGACAGGAATTGTCGATAACTTCCGTGACTTCGGGCACGAGTGGGACCTCCAAGAAGTGTTGCATTGGTTTGCATTCATTGAGAATAACACCAATTCATTGACAAATGATTTGATTATTTTCGGAGACTTTTTGTCGAAATCAGTGCTTCTGTTCATAGGTTCGGGTCTTTACCCCCAGTTCTTAGGCCTCAACCACTCGTGCAGTCCTAACAGCGCTCTCATCAACAATGGTATGAATTGTTTGACATTTCAATTGACTTTTGGATCAATCTCTTCAAACTTTCTCAATGGACAGGTCTGTCGCTGTCATTACGAGCTATGAAAGCGATTCCCAGCGGACAAGACATCACTATTAGTCGTATTGACGACTTGTGTCACAAGAAAAGCGAACGCATGGAACTGCTTAAGAAGTATGCCATTGACTGCCAGAAATGTGTCAAAAATCTCGACTCAGACATCGACTACGAGTTTATGACATTTGGCCGCCAAATGACCGAAGCGTTGAATGACCGGTCGTTATCTGATCGTATGATTGCCGACAAATTTGCAGGTCTTGTGCCCACAATTAGATCCAATTGTGATGTGATTTTTGGTGAATACCATCCCCTGAAAGTGATTATGTTGTTCACGTTTGTCATTATGCTTGTCCAACAAAACTGCAATCAAAATCTTCTACAATACATAAGCAACCAATTGATGGATTCAGTTGCCATCACTTATGGCGCTAATCACCCCATAAATCAAATGATTTTCAACCACATTCCCGATGCAAACAAATAAATCATTTATTTAGTTGTTTTGTAATCATGTGTTTAAATGTTCCGGTTAGTTTAAATGTGTTTAAATTACCATAAAAATTATGTCAAGCAAAAATGTGTACCGTATTACTGTAAACCCATAATTATTTTGTAACTTACTATAATACTAAATCATTTACCGTTAATTAATCTAATTTTAATTCATAATCAGTAATTATAATAAATGATATCTCACTTCAATTAAGAATTTCATTATAAATCTATAAGTGTATGAAAAATAAATATTTTGGTTAATAGTTAGTGTTTTATACGAATTAATTATTTTAAAAATAAATTATTGAAACAATTGATGTGAAAGTAAGTCACGAATGGATGGTCTTCTGAGTTGCTTTCGATGCAAACACTTCTCTATTATATTGCGATACTCTTTGGACACGTGATCGGGAAAGCGGAGGACATTACTTTCATTGAGTATATCATCGACGGTGAGGAACGGTATGTCTCCACAGAATAATTCGTACAGAAATATACCCAAAGACCAGACAGTCTGCGATTGCCCGTAATATAACCGGTATTTAATATATTCTGGCGGACAGTAGAGTGTAGTTCCCCTGAAATGAGCGCTTATATTCTCGTGGGGATGACCAGCCGCTCCGAAATCAATGAGTTTTATGTCATAAGTATCGGTATTTACGAGAATATTCTCGGGTTTGATATCCCTGTGAATGAATCCAACTTTGAGGCACTCGTTCAGCGTTTGCAACAACTGTTTGAAAATCAACTGAATCTCAAACTCTTTGAAAATGAAATTCACTTTTTGTCGCTTCATTTCAAACAAATCGGTAGTGTTTTCGGGCCTTTCCATTACGATTAGGAAACTGTAGTCCGTTTCATACCAGTCCACCAGTCGTACGACACCCGGCACTGATTGCAGGCTTTCCAAGACGTATAGCTCAACGGGAATTCTCGTTGAATCCCATTGTCGCCAATCAATCACTTTTTGTTTGTCGATGTGTTTGACGGCTACCGATAGGCAGTCGCTGGACCTGAACCCGCAGTAGACACTCCCGAAAGCGCCGACACCTATAAGACCGTTGATTGTGTACAGCTTTTTGAAGTCATTTACTTCAATAAACTTTGTGTTCACGAAATTATATTTGATTTCTTCGCTTCTTTTTGTTATTATTTTTCCCATTATTTGTAATTTTAAGTTTAAAATAAGTTCAACACAATGTAATAGACAATTATTTATTTATTTAGTTTGCCAATGTGCGAATAAAGTTAAAATTCAAAATTATATTTTAGAGGAAATAAAAGTTTGATTAAAACTTGTTTCCAATTAAAACTTTGTCAACATTTGCTCAAAAACATCTACTAATTACAGTATTAATTAGTTTTAAAATATTATACTTGTACTTATAATCAAGTTTATAGTATATTTTATGAAATTTATACAAATGTAATTATAATTATAGATTAAAAACTATAGAAATTCTTGTTAGAGAATTTGTCTAATAATAATAAACTATTGTTTTACTAAACGGTTCTGTTCATAAACCTTGGTGACCCTTAAATTTATTAATTAACTGTATATTTTGGAGTTAAGTTACTATTTTATAATTAGTCGCTTAAATAGTTTATATTTCATGTAATTCTAGTAATGATAATTCAAATATTGTTTTGAATCTAGCCTACAGCTCTAGTGTTAATAATTTATCAAAGAATTTATCAAAAAAGTAATTTAATAAAAATTTTTAAAAATTAAAATTTAATTTAATTAAAATTAATTTAAAAATTAATTAAAAATTTTTCACAACTTGTGCACAATTATCATACCTATTTGACTAAAATTATATTTACAAAGAATTTCTTGTAATATATTTATTTTTATAAAATATTTACTGTATTATCAAATATTTGTCGTTAAAAAATAAAAATCTATTTAGAGATAATAATCGCAGACTTATATTAATAGCTATACTTTTCTTAGCACTCAAATCCAAGGAATTTCCCTTTTTTATAACCTGAACTCTCTCTCTCTCTCTCTCTCTCT